CAGTTCATAGAACCACTCGTGGACGTCCTTCTGTAAATAATCAAGCTCTAAATAAAAAAATATTGACGACCCTCGTAGATATAGTTGTTTCAACGCGTCAACCTTTATCAACTCTGAAGATTTTGGTTATCAAAAATCAACGAGGCATAGCTCATACTTCCAACGACAACCCACACCCCCAAACCCATTTCTTGATCAAATCCCAAGTTTATTTCATTCATACATCACACAGATACAAGATGTAGTGGGTGATGGAAATTGTGGATTTTGAGTCATATCTACTTGTTTGGGTGGTCATGAAAACGCATGGGGCAATATTCGGCGTGAGTTAATGATTGAACTAACCTAGCATCAACATTATTACTCTTATGTTATTGCCAACGAGTGTTTAAGAATTTACGAAGCGTTGAACTTTTTCATGGAAAATGTCTTTGCACCGGAAATGTATTGGATCGCTATGCCTGAAATGGGAATTCTAGGTGCTTCAAGATTTAATGTCATACTGCATGTTTTCAGTCATAGGGCAGACAATGTGACATACTTATCATTCATGACACAATCGCAACCATTATCCCAACACGTGTCAATTGTAATAGTCATGTTAATGGTAACCATTACATAAAGGTGGTATTAAACAGAGAATACCCAATGGCCACACTCGTACATCATTGGCCACGTCATGGCTTCCAGATGCAAGTACATGGATTGTCCCATACCAACGTAGATTTGATATGTATCAAGAATATATAGAAAATACTTGTAATCAAGATTATTTAGGTGACTAATTAAAGTTGGAATTTGTTTGAATAAAAAATATCAAATATATTTATTTATGTTAAAAAAACTTACGAGTGATTTTCTTTTCTCTAAAAAATCAATCAACCAATACGTTATAGCGGCATATATATAGTTCAATCCAAAAATATTCAATATTGGACTCGTTTCGAAGGTATCGATGAGACGATTATAATGATGTAACTTGTTAAAATTAAAACGTATTTTTTAAACATATTTTAGTTAATATATAATTATATGTGTTAATAAGATCGAAATATAAAATGAAAAATAGAAAACTAAAAGGTATAAAGTAAACTAATTAAATAAATTAAATCCAAAAATATTCAATATTGGACTCGTTTCGAGGCGATTATAATGATGTAACTTGTTAAAATTAAAACGTATTTTTTTTAACATATTTTAGTTAATATGTAATTATATGTGTTAATAAGATCGAAGTATAAAATAAAAAATAAAAAACTAAAAGGTATAAAGTAAACTAATTAAATAAATTTAAGGGTATAAAATATAAATTATTAAATAAAGTATATAAAAATGAAAGATTATGAGGGAGGGGTCGAAACTGACAAGGGAGTCGTTTTAGAAATTGCCAATTTTTTTAAATTTTAATTTTAAATTTATACTTTATACCTCTATAATTAGTTAATTAATTTAATTTATATTTTTTACGTTACTTCTTTTCCTTCTAAATTTTTTATTTTATTTTGACTTAATTATATTATTATATATTATATATAGTATAAATTTTTTTTTAATACTTACACTTTATACTTTTATAGTTATTTATTTAATTTATAGTACATAATTTATTTTTTCAATTTTCGTTTTACACCATTATCATATTGAAAAACATAATTTTATATTAACTAAAATTATATCCGACAAAGAAATTAACCTCTCATAATTTTAATATACTTTTTATTCTAATAAAATTACACCATTATAATCGTCTCGTCAATCTCTTCGAAATGAACCCAATAATGAATATTATTTGATTTAATTATATTATTATAATCGTATTTTCAATACATTTGAAAGGAACACAATATTGAATATTTTCGGATTTAATTATATTATTATCTATCATATATAGTACGGAAAAAATATTTTTAATACTTACACTATATACTCTTGTAGATAATTATTTAATTTTTTTAGTATATCCCTAACTTTTTCATTTTTCATTCTTATCACATTAACATACATAATTGTATATTAAATAAAATATGTTAACAAAATACATTTTTATTTTAACAAGTTACACCATTATAATCGTCTTGTGAATACCTTCAAACGAGCTATGTATTGAATATTTTTGGTTAATCATATTATTAAAAACCATAACTACATAAATTATTTTTAATACTTACATTTTATACTCTTACAGTTATTTATTTAATTTGTTTTATATACATTACTTTTTCCATTTTTCGTTGTATACTCTTATCACATTAACATACATAATTGTATATTAACTAAAATCCGTTAAAAATATGTTTTTATTTTAATAAGTTATATCATCGTAATCGTCTCGTCAATACCTTCAAAATGAACCCAATATTGAACATCGTTTATTTAATTATGAAACTATAATTATATAAATATCATAAGGGTATAAATAAAAATAAAGAAGTAAATAAATATAACAAATTTTTATAAAGATATAAAATATAAATATTGAAAAAAATTCATATACAAATATAAATAT